TTTTTTTCTACACCGAGGTAAATGGGTAGATCAGTGGAAATGGATTCTTCCTGTTTCCACTAGTTGCTCAGTGTGGGCCTTCATGCCAAGGCAAATCTCAGGAAGTCCTCTGCAGAGCAGTCACGCTAGGGCAGATGGACAGGGGTGGATAACACTTCTGGGACAAGAACCTCCTCTGTAAACAGGAATCAGGCTCTGAATAAGGAGTTAAAATGGTCACACTGAGCACTGCATTAGATGCTTTATCCTGTAATCTTATATACATAATTAACGATGATTTGTGAGTGCAGAGATTGTTTTTAATCCTCATTACCCATTAAAATAAAGATTCTCTTTCTTGGTTGTGCGTTAGTGTGCAAATTCCACCCCCCCCCACCCGTGTCATTTGGCCTCAATCCAGTGGTCATATTCCTCACATGCCTTTCAGGTCCTTAATGACCCTATATGGAGTCCATGGTGACGAATGCAAGGTACATGGGATTATTAATGATCTTAAAGATAATTTTAGAAAAGATATGATATCTAACAAGTAATAAATTATCAGGATTGTTTATCTTATGCATAAAAGTAATTTTTTTTTAGGTTAGCAAGTGACCTAACTGACCTCTATTTCTTCTCTTGTATGATTAATAGACCTAGAAACTAGCTAACCACCTCGTCTCCTTGTTAGTCCCCCTCTTCGGCTTTCCACACTTGACTGGGAGGCTGATACAAGGACTTTTTTCCAATTCTTCGAGCCTGGTGCCTGGCAAAGACATAGAAGACAAAGGTTAAAGGCCAACTTTGACCCGATATACCAAGGACTTGACTGTAGACAGAAACAATGTGGTTCTCTACCAGAGATGTGTTTTCTGGATAATGCTGTCTTGAAGTTGAAGAGGTAACTTAATACATAGCAAGAGTTCCTGAGAACAGTGGTTCTCCCCTCAGATTGGGGGAATGCAGATACTTAACTGCATTTTTTTTTTTTTTTTGAAAATCTTTACTTTTGAGTGGGTGGATATGGAAGGGGCAGTGAGAGTGGCATCTGCTAGGAGCTGATACTAAGTGGCACATCTACGAATGTCATAGAGTCAACAGTGAGTTTAATCAACATTATTTTGTGCTTCATTTTTGTATCCTATGCCTTAATATAACACAGGCCTGACCTAAATTTGACCTGTAATAGATGTGTAATGGGTTGAAATTGGTGTTCTTTCCCTTCTCTATCTGTATGTTGTGGACAGAGAAATGTGTTAAGAATCAGGAAAGCAGAATTGTAATTTTGGATATGTCTTTTACTAGCTATGTGAGTTTTACAAACTCATTTCACTGTTCTTACTGTTTGGACAATGATGCTTGTATTGGATGATCTTTAAATTCCTTTTACCTTCATGATTTATAATCTATAGATAATATAATGACCATAGGACGGTTAAAATCAGTAGTTTTCTGGTAAATATTATTGACTGGCTTTCAAAAAAATAAAAAGAAAACTGTGATTTATGATGTTTGTCTACTTCTAAATACTCCTGCTGTGGCCAAGTTTAAGCTGCCAAGGTGAGATCACTGAACGTGGAATTGGGAAGAAATGGGCATGTTCAGCTATTCCAAGCCAAGAGGAGCTAGTTCTAGCACACTATAGGCCTCAAAACAGTAAATTATTCTACCCTAAAAGACTGAAAAGTATGCTAATATAGTTGAGAAGAAATTAATGATGGTAAACAAAAAGTTTCCAGCGTTAATGAGAAAATTAATGCATGGATTGTCTTAATTTTTAATACTTTGACTAGTGACCACACTGTAACATGTTTTTTTTTTTTTTTTCTGTACACAGGCCTCTCACTGTTGTGGCCTCTCCCGTTGCGGAGCACAGGCTCCGGAAGCGCAGGCTCAGCGGCCATGGCACATGGGCCCAGCTGCTCTGCGGCATGTGGGATCTTCCCGGACCGGGGCACGAACCCATGTCCCCTGCATCAGCAGGCGGACTCTCAACCACTGCGCCACCAAGGAAGCCCTGTAACAGTTTTTAAAAAGAATGGTAGGCCATGTAATGTTTTTCAAAAAGTCACAGATACAGGGTTTCCCTGGTGGCGCAGTGGCTAACAATCCACCTGCCAATGCAGGGGTCGCGGGTTCGAGCCCTGGTCCAGGAAGATCCCACATACCGCGGAGCAACTAAGCCCGTGCGCCACAACTACTGAGCCTGCGCTCTAGAGCCCGTGAGCCACAATTACTGAGCTCGCGTGACACAGCTACTGAAGCCCGCGCGCCTAGAGCCTGTGCTCTGCAACAAGAAAAACCACTTCAATGAGAAGCCCGTGCACCACAACCAAGAGCAGCCTCCACTCGCTGCAACTAGATAAAGCCACGCGCAGCAATGAAGACCCAATGCAGCCAAAAATAAATAAATAAAATAAATTTATAGTAAAAAATAAATTTATAAAAAGTCACAGATACATGTAAAGACAGTATTAGTTTCAAAAGTTGAATCTTTTAGTATGGCAGGAAGCAATATTTAGAATCTGATCTAATGCTTTAAGTACTCTTGCTATAGCTCCAAGATTAGTCTTAAGCCAACAGGACAGTGTTTACATCTCCACCACACAGAGGATTAATATATATCAAGGAATGTTGGCAATACTGTACCTTGGTACCCATTCATGCATTGCTTATTGGTCACCATGAGCATTAGAACAGAATGGTATTACTGAAATGCTGCAAACAATGCAAACTAAAAATGAGTCCTCTGAAAGGGATGAGAAAGGATATCAAAGAATGTCTATTAGACCTATTTTACTATTCTTTTTAAATTTAGCATTTCTATGTTTTGGGAAAGGGATGCAACTAGCTTAGCTTATTCTGTTGTTGGAAGTTATTTGCTCCAATTTTTAGGATTATAGAATTTTAGAGTTGGGTAGAATATTCGAGATCCTTTCTTCACTGCGTGAATTGAGATTTCCATTTATTTATGTATCATCAGGTACCAGATAAGTTTGGCACTTGAAAAATTACCTGGGTTTTTTCTATTCATATAAAATATCTAAGCTAGAGATTCAATTCAGTTTTACGTTTATCAAGCATCTCCAGTGTACTGGGTTGCTGAAGATAACAAGAGGTATAAATTATGGACTGTGACTTTAAAGGGAGCTCATATTTTAAAAATAGGGGTTCCAAATGTGAACAGATAATTGCAAAATGAATGCTTTGATAGACTTGAGGCTGTTTGATAGACTTGAGGCTCTTAATGCAGTACGGGGAAGTCAGAGAAGACTGGAGAATATGCTACTGGTGCTGGATTATGAAGCATTTATAAATGTGTGTGTGTGTGTCTATGGGGCTGGTGGTGGTAGCAAGGGCATTCCAGGCAGAGGGAAGAGACTGCTGATGCCAGAAACAAACAGTGTTGACAGTGACAGTGTAGGAGTCAATAATATATTAAAAAGGACCTCTACAAAGGTTTAATTCAACAAATAGGTGTTGAGGTCAACTTTGTTGAAGTCATCTGCCATCGAATAACATGCCCTTCATGTAGACATGGCAGTGATTGTATGCTCTTTCTTATTTTACTGTTGAGAATATTACATATTATTCGTAATTTCAATGTGTAAAAAAGCTTCCATTTTTTTCAAAATAAGCCTAAACGTATCAAGTTTTAAGAAAGACCAATTGCAAAATTGTGATGGAGGTTGGCTACTATTATCTGCTCCCACAGCTCTCCTCACAACACGCAGGTCTTCACCCTCTCTCATTACCTACCACCCCATTCAGTTCAAATCCCTGCTGCTCCATCTTTCTCTGCTTTCTCAGGAAGGCAAAGTTAAGACTCAGAACCATTCCTTCCAAAAGATCATCATTGCTGCGCTATGATTATGAAGTCCAATAAGTCATCAAAGATTGAAGGGAAGGGCAGGAGGACTTATTTTCCTAACCAGGGTAGATAATGGCCCAAAAATGATGTTAGAGAAATCATGGTAAAATTTTCTTTTCTCATTAATTCTCATATTTTTACTTTGTATATTATGTAAAGATCACAGAATTATGTAACCACTGATTGTGTCAGAGTCTTGTAAGTAGTAGGTATTCAAAATGTATTTGGTGAATGACTGAATGTAACTTAATTGAGCAAAACAAACAAAATAGCACGGCTGCTGGGATAACTTGATAGCCACGTGCAAGAATGAAGTTGGATACTTACCTCACTCCATATACAAAAATTAAATTAAAGACCTTGGGAGGGGTCAATGGGGAATGACTGCTAATAGGTACAGGATTTCTTTTTTGGGTTTTGAAAATGTTCTGAAATTAGATAGTAGTGATGATTGCACAGTGTTGTGAATCTACTAAAAAACATGAATTGTACATTTTAAAAGGGTGAATTTTAAGGTATATCATTATATCTGAATAAAAAAATAGATGCCCAAAACACCCAAAACAAACAGCAACAATAAAACCATAGTTAAGAAAGTTTCATTGAGGCTGTCATTGAAATGTTCTACCTAGGTAGTCCTAACATTGAAGAAGAATATAAGTTAAAGATGAAAGAACATGTTTTAGTTAAAACAAAATTGAAAATAGTAAAAAAGATGTACTGTATTTTAATAATGCTAAGATGCATATTTTTTCACATTTCTGAAATGGAAATGAATCTTATAATTGCTGGTGTGTCACAGTTTATTTGGCTGCTTTTTTTTCTTTCTTCATGGTACATAAAATTGTGATATATCTTAGCTTCAGTGAAATGCTTAATTTTTTGAATAATGTGACAGAGGCTGCCAGTTGTCCCTCAATGTTTTCTCCTCTTCTCACACAGTAATAAAATTTTTTAACTGGGTAAATGGCTGCCCAGCCAAAACTGTATTCCAGATTTTCTTGACAGCTAGTTGTGGCCACATGTGTAAGTTCTGGTGAGTGGTAAGTACGCAGAAGTGATATATGCACCTTCTGGTTTGTGCCCTTAAAGAGAAGGAGCGTGCCCTCCCTTCTCTCCTTCTCTTCTTTTTTTCCTCCCTCCCTACTTTTTCCTTCTCTCTCTTTTTTTTCCCTCCCTCCTCCTTCATTCCTTTCCTTCTAAATTGTAGATATGATGGTGGGAGCTAACGGCCATCTTGATCTTTGAGATAGAAACTAAGTGTTGAGGGTGGTAAAGAATGAGAACAGACACCTGAGTACTTAATGCTAATGAAACCAATAGACTAGCCCTAGATTGACTATGCAGACTTTTATGTGAGAGACAAATAAAGTTCTAGCTTGTCTAAGTCACTCTTATTTTGGGTGTCTCAGCTACAGGAGCTGAAAAATATTCTATATAATATGAATGGTTTCTGACTTTCATTTTTCTTGAAGTAAACTGTTATTACTTTCTCCAAAGGGTTAAATTCTGCTCCCTCTAAACACACACACACACACACACACACATATATCTGGGCCCAAAATGAGTTACCAAATATAGCATTTACTTATAAGGAATGTATTGTGAATAGCTTTTCAGTTTTCATTATCAAAGAAGGATGATTTCAGCTCACATTCAGTCTATATTTCTAAAGAATACCTTTGTTAGGACTGTCTGTTCAATGCAATGGAAGACAGCCTTTTCAGTGTAACTGAGACTTCTTGATAAAGCTAAATGTGCCTCGTCGGTTGAATTCTTCTGGCTTTGCGTTGGTGTGGTAAAAATACATGATCGGATTTCATTGTTAAGAAAATTCTTTCAGCAATACATGTACAGTCAAGTTTGTTGCCTGGATAGCTGAACATTTCGGTCATGAGATTAAAAAAAAAAATGTCTCATGACAAAACTTGAAATGGAAATGTAACCATCTGGAAGTCTAGTTCTGCCTTAGAGTGGCAAGGCTGTGAAGAGCTGTGCTGCTGGGGGTGATGCCACTCTGTCCTTTTGACAGCCATACTCTTGTTCTTCATATTTGAGGAGATGGGACAGTGAGGAGGCCTGTTGGCTTGAGCTTATTAATGCCACCATCTAGAATACAGATTCTTGGATATTTCATCTTCACAAGATGAGCTGCAAACTGCAAAAAAAAAAGGGACAAATTTATAAAGGATACACAAAATTGATACATCTCCAATCCCGTTTTTTTCTCAAGCTGTGATAGACAAATGATAATGATGATGTTATTACTGCTGTCACTGTTCTATCAATGAATCATTAATTTAGTTTTTAATATAAATTAAACCCCTCTTTTCAAACGTATTTATGCTATGGGATAAATGTCTCTCTTTAATTCTCTTGTAAACTTGTTTGAATAGGCAATAAATATACTTGGTAAACAATTCAAACAATATAAAAGGGTATACCGTGAGACTACGCAGGTAAATTCCTCCTACCTCTGTTCTCAGTCTCCCTCTCCAGAAAACATTAATATTCTTATTTTTCATACATCCTTCTAGTGAGAGTCAAAACATTCTCAAATCTATATTTATGAACAATTTTTACAGTATTTTCATCATATTAGTTATTGCAATTACATGCACAATATCCCAGAGAAGGCCCATGAACTGGTTCTAACATGTTTTCAGAGCAACTTCAATGAACAGTTTGAGACCATAAATTTGGAATAAATTTGAAGGACTGCTCCAAGAAGTCTTCTAGATGCCTAGCAAAGTAGGGCTTTGAAAATTTATCAAGACATACACATTTCTCTCTGACTTGCCCATGTCTACCTATCCAGGATCATTGATTATCTTTCTCTACTCCTTGTACTTTACGATGAAGCAGTCCTGGACTGTAATCAATCCCCTGACAGATGGGATCACTTTAGGATTCAGAGTCTTTTTTGGTTGTGCACTGTCTGTTGGAAACATGCTCCATTTCCCACCAACTCCTGGTCCCCTGCTTTAGTTTCTCCTCACAAGCAACCCCCCACTCCGACCTGCCTAATTTCTACTTACTTCCTTACTCAGGCAATTCCTTGTTTCGGAGCTAAGTTTCCATTAGGGGGTCCTCTTTTCAGGCCCCCAGATTTTTTGTGCAAACCTCTACCTTTGGCTTACCACATTTATTTAAATTGCCCATTAAAAAGCCTGCTTCCTCTAGCAAAATGTAAACTCCTCTAGGACAGTGAGTGTTGTTACTTTTTTTCTTTTTTTTTAAAACATCTTTATTGGAGTATAATTGCTTTACAATGTTGTGTTAGTTTCTGCTGTATAACAAAGTGAATCAGCTATACGCATACGTATATCCCCATATCCCCTCCCTCTTGCGTCTCCCTCCCACCCTCCCTATCCCACCCTTCTAGGTGGTCACAAAGCACCGAGCTGATCTCCCTGTGCTATGTGGCTGCTTCCCACTAGCTATCTATTTTACATTTGGTAGTGTATATTTCTCCATGCCACTCTCACTTTGTCCCAGCTTACCCTTCCCCCTCCCTGTGTCCTCAACTCCATTCTCTACATCTGCATCTTTATTCCTGTCCTGCCCCTAGGTTCATCAGAATCATTTTTTCTTTTTTTAGATTCCATATAAATGTGTTAGCATACCGTATCTGCTTTTCTCTTTCTGACTTACTTCACTCTGTATGACAGACTCTAGGTCCAGCCACCTCACTACAAATAACTCAATTTCATTTCTTTTTATAGCTGAGTAATATTGCATTGTATAAACGTGCCACATCTTCTTTATCCAGTCATCTGTCAATGGACACTTAGGTTGCTTCCATGTCCTGGCTATTGTAAACAGAGCTGCAATGAACATTGTGGTACATGACTCTTTTGAATTATGGTTTTCTCAGGGTATATGCCCAGTAGTGGGATTGCTGGATCATATGGTAGTTCTATTTTTAGTTTTTTAAGGAACCTCCATACTGTTCTCCATAGTGGCTGTATCAGTTTACGTTCCCACCAACAGTGCAAGAGGGTTCCCTTTTCTACACACCCTCTCCAGCATTTATTGTTTGTAGAATTTTTTTTTTTTTTTTTTGCGGTACGCGGGCCTCTCACTCTTGTGGCCTCTCCCGGTGCAGAGCACAGGCTCCGGACACGCAGGCTCAGCGGCCATGGCTCACGGGCCTAGCCGCTCCGCAGCATGTGGGATCTTCCCGGACTGGGGCACGAACCCGTGTCCCCTGCATCAGCAGGCGGACTCTCAACCACTGCGCCACCAGGGAAGCCCTGTTTGTAGATTTTTTGATGATGGCCATTCTGACCGGTGTGAAGTGATACCTCATTGTAGTTTTGATTTGCATTCCTCTAATGATTAGTGATGTTGAGCATTCTTTCATGTGTTTTTTGGCAATCTGTATAACTTCTTTGGAGAAATGTCTATTTAGGTCTTCTGCCCACTTTTGGACTGGGTTGTTTGTTTTTTTGAGATTGAGCTTCAAGAGCTGCTTATATATTTTGGAGATTAATCCTTTGTCAGTTGCTCCATTTGCAAATATTTTCTCCCATTCTGAGGGTTGCCTTTTCGTCTTGTTCATGGTTTGTTTCGCTGTGCAAAAGCTTTTAAGTGTCATTAGGTCCCATTTGTTTATTTTTGTTTTAATTTCCATTTCTCTAGGAGGTGGGTCAAAAAGGATCTTGCTGTGATTTATGTCACAGAGTGTTCTGCCTATGTTTTCCTCTAAGAGTTTGATAGTGTCTGGCCTTACATTTAGGTCTTTAATCCATTTTGAGTTTATTTTTGTGTATGGTGTTAGGAAGTGTTCTAATTTCATTCTTTTATATGTAGCTGTCCAGTTTTCCCAGCACCACTTATTGAAGAGGCTGTCTTTCCTCCATTGTATACCTTGCCTCCTTTATCAAAGATAAGGTGACCATATGTGCGTGGGTTTATCTCTAGGCTTTCTATCCTGCTCCATTGATCTATATTTCTGTTTTTGTGCCAGTACCATACTGTCTTGATTACTGTAGCTCTGTAGTATAGTCTGAAGTCAGGGAGCCTGATTCCTCCAGCTCCATTTTTCTTCCTCAAGATTGCTTTGGCTATTCGGGGTCTTTTGTGTTTCCATACAAATTGTGCAATTTTTTGTTCTAGTTCTGTGAAAAATGCCATTGGTAGTTTGATAGGGATTGCATAGAATCTGTAGATTGCTTTGGGTAGTATAGTCCCTAGTGCCTGGCACATGGCAGGGGCTCAATATATGCCTATTGGTCTCAACTAAACTATGGTAAAGGACAAATACCCAAGGGCAAAAGGGTAAGAAGCAGAGGTAAAGTAAAGAAAGTTTTCTTTAGCTCTCTGGCCATTCTCTGTCTATAGGTGGTGTCCTATTCCTCTCCCTTGGATGTTTGTGTCCTCACGTTTTTCTCATTTACTTTATCATAACCTGATCTCAGATCCTTCAAGAAAAATGACTAGTACCTGCTCACAGTGCTACTGCCTCTTGGAAGTATTTGAAGCTTAATATTGGTGAAGTCTCAAGCGAGCAGTCTAGACTTTATAGGTTCAAAAGAATCAGCTGAGTTGTTTGGTCAGGATAACTTCAAGGCGTCACTCAGAGATTCTGTTTATTGAGCTGCGGCTCAGGAATGTGTTTTTTGTTTTTGTTTTTATTTTTCAACAAACACCATTAGATGATTCTAATGCAGGTCTGTGGACAATATTTTGAAAAATACTATCTTAAGCCCAAGGATAAAGATATCAGTAAGTAGGTGAAATACTGGGTTGGCCAAAAAGTTCATTCGGTCTTTTTCCATAAGATGGCTCTAGTAGAACTTAGTTGCTTTTAATGTCACTTGAAACAATTTTGTTAGACTGTACTGTGACAGCTGTCATAGAAGCGTGCATTTAAAAAAAAAGCTTATCAAAACTGGTGAATTTTTGTGTAGCCATTTTAATATTGAAGATGGAAGAAAAAAGCAACATTTTCGGCATATTATGCTTTATTATTTCAAGAAAGGTTAAAAACGCAACTGAAACGCAAAAAAAAAGATTTGTGCAGCATATGGAGAAGATGCTGTGACTGATCGAATGTGTCAAAAGTGGTGTGCGAAGTTTCGTGCTGGAGATTTCTCACTGGACAATTCTCCACGGTTGGGTAGACAGGTTGAAGTTGATAGCGATCAAATCGAGACATTAATTGAGAACACTGAGCATTATACCATGACGGAGATAGCCGACATACTCAAAATATCCAAATCAAGCGCTGAAAAGCATCTGCACCAGCTTGGTTATGTGAATCCCTTTGATGTTTAGGTTCTACATAAGTTAAGTGAAAAAAACCTTCTTGACCATATTTCCGCATGCGATTCTCTGCTGAAACGTAATGAAAATGTTCTGTTTTTAAAACAAATTGTGATGGGTGATGAAAAGTGGATACTGCACAATAACGTGGAATGGAAGAGATTGTGGGGCAAGCGAAATGAACCACACCAACCACCACCAACCACACCAAAGGCCGGTCTTCATCCAAAGAAGGTGATGTTGTATATATGGTGGGATTGGAAGGGAGTCCTCTATTATGAGCTCCTTCCAGAAAACGAAACGATTAATTCCAACAAGTACTGCTCCCAACTAGACCAACTGAAAGCAGCACTCAACGAAAAGCATCCAGAACTAGTCAACAGAAAACGCATAATCTTCCATCAGGATAATGCAAGACTGCGTTTCTTTTATTTGCCTTCACCAATTTCCAGCTCAGCAGCAGCCTACTGCTACATTTATTTCGGTCTTTACAAAGTTCTCTTAACGGAAAAACTTTCAATTCCCTGGAAGACTGTAAAAGGCACCTGGACCAGTTCTTTGCTCAAAAAGATGAAAAGTTTTGGGACGATGGAATTATAAAGTTGCCTGAAAAATGGCAGAAGGTAGTGGAACAAAATGGTGAATACATTGTTCAATAAAGTTCCTGGTGAAAATGAAAAATTTTTCTTTTATTTTTACGTATAAACCGAAGGAACTTTTTGGCCAAACCATAGATGTTGTTGGACTCAGATCTTCGCAATTTTCAAAACAACTAACAGAAAACGAACTCAGTACTGCTGACCCCGCTTAACTTTTCCACAATTCTCTGCAATGCCTTAAGAGAGATTCAAATGCTGTTCATGTTTTAGAGCATAAGCTCTTTTAGAG